AGAGAGTATGGTCGGACTAATGACAAGCTCTGTGGAGAGAAACAGTGTCAGGGATTGAATTAACTTTTAGGAGAGAAGCTAACGAGTCCATGGTGTCTGAGAAAAACACTCACATGGCCTGGCTCAGTGCATTAATTGTTTAAACCTGCTAACACATTTAACACTTTCTTGACCTGCCTCCAAGTCCTTCAATAGAGACAAACCGGTGACACAGGACCTGGTATTGTGCTCAGGAATAAAGGCCACGCAACTCTATGAGAGCTGCACAGGAAAGACCTTTAAACAGGCTGCATGGTATTTCGCAACTGCACTCTCCATTTGCTCTGTTTGCCATCATTTCAGCTCCATCAAATCGTTTAATGCCGTGTCAAGGCTGCTCTGTGGCCAGTTGTCTTGGGTCTAAAAACAGAAGCACGGAGTCTAAACGCAACATACGAATAAGACGATGAAAGTGAGGCGACGACAACAGACCAGAGAAAACAGCTGAAGCAGAAGATTTAAGTTGATGTCTTTCTTCGTCTTCATACAGACTCTGGCACAGTTGTCACTTCACTTTTTATCAGAAGAGCTTCGTGCAGTTGACTTTAATGCAAGTTCAGAGACGAGCGTGAGGAGGCAAAGACGAGACAAGGATATTGTTTCCTCCCAAAAGGAGTGTACTATCCATCACACGAGTGATTGATCGGAGTACTTGGAACAACAAAAGGGCATAAAGTGACGGAAGGGTAAGGAGTGCTTTGTGTTGGAGTGCCACTCTGAGATAAAGTCTTAGTTTTCATCACTATCGTATTTGAATAAAGGTAATATTTTCTGTTTAGGACATAACTTAGCTGGACTTCAATAACCATTAAATACTCTCCGCACCTTTAATGTGGAGAGATGCATGCAAGCTGATACTGAGCCTCATTCTGCTCCGCAATATGTCATAATATTAACAGCTTGCAGTGCAAACATGAAACCTTAACCGTTATCTTTCTCTTTCACGGCTTAAAGACGGGTGATCACTGTAGCCACTATGGTAGGCTTATAATGAATCACTCAAATAGCTTGACACAAAAATGAGTTTAAGTCTACTGTAGCCATATTACAGCAGCTATAGGTTAAAGCTGGACCACTGACGTGCTAGACTTGCAATGGACTACCACTTCACTAGTAAGGAAAAAAAAAAAACACCTAACTCCTGGCTCGAAGCTAGTGAGTTACTATGTAAATGATGAGGCACAACAACCAATGGGATTCCTCTTCCACAGGAGAAAAAGTTCAATCGGACCATTAAACCACTTGTCGTGGACATTCAGTGTAACTGGGAGCATTGGGGTTCCAGGTCAAGCATGCATTTTAGTGACTGACTGATACAATTACTTGCATCATCAGCCTGTTGAGGGTTTTTACTTTTATTGCCTCATTCAAGTAAATGTCAGCCTTCCTCAAGATGCCATGATTTGTCAGCATTTAGAGTAAATCTACCTTGGCAGATACGCCACGTATCAAGAACGTTAAAGCGACTTCTTTTTAATGAAGCCCTTCAGCGACACTCGTTTCTGACTTCCTATAAGCTGTTGCTCAGTATACAGAGGGTTGAGAGGATCCTCACACGCTTCAGGCAACAGTTGGTACAAATCATGAATTTGCAGAGACAAGATAAAAGCTAGGAGACAGCACGCTCATTTATGGACACACTGATTGCTGTGGAAGCTTTATGTCAATGAGGAAATACCCTGCTCTCTTTCCTCTCTCCTCATAGCCAGCTGGCCCTATCCAAGAGATAGAAATCTCTTCAATCTGATTAACTGCTTTTGGATTTAGCTCATAGCCTGAATAAGGAAAGGAGCCTATAGAAATAAAAGCTTTGTCTTCCCAATAGAGATCTACACTGCAAGCGGGTTAGACTTTATATGTTGTGTCTGGCACCTGTCAGTGGGTCTGCAGAAGCAGCAGCTTGGATAAATTAAACATGTAACGCTTCATTTGAGCAGCTGGGTTGCTATCCCCTCGTGACTATCTGCTTCTCTAAAGTGAAAACCCCCAAGAATAAAACACAGCACGCTGAAATGGAAAAAAAAACACACAACAAAAAAACAGAAGCTAGGACCAAGAAAATGGGCTTATTTTACAAGCTCTTAGCCATGGTATATTGCCTTAAAAGAGCCATATATGATTCCACCCTTGACAATCAATGAACAAACAACTGTTGATAAAATACAGAGCATTGCCAGTTGCAAATGTTAACATATTTCAGAGCAACACACCTCCTCCACGGGGAACCCTGTATCTTCTTAGCTTTTCTGACTGAATTTGTTCTTCTGAGGAGCCAAGGAAAGCAGGATTTTAAATGCATGTGTTTGTCTATATTTTCTGACCTAGGTCACACAAATCCAGACTGAAAAGTGATTATGTTGTTTGCTTTCCTATTCACTGACATAAACGAATATAAAGGCAAATGCTCCGAAAAGATGGAATCTTATTACGTGTCATGTGTATGGTTTCTGTGTGACAGAAGAAAAGTGATGAAACACATTTGGGAGGATAATTGCTTTGGTCAATAACGGCTGGTTGCCTGTTTTACATTCCATTATGGGGAGGATGGGCTCAGGGCCGTTTCATCACGGAGAGATAAATAAAAGGACGGTGGAGCCAGAAGAGACCCGTATCCCAGGTAAATGAGTGCTTTATGAGGAAGATTAGCACAAATCCTTCACACACAGAGCACCGGGTGCATGTGGGGCGAGGGAGGCTTTCGGATGCAGGCTTGGCTACCTCCATCTCACACATTCCCCCGGCAATCGATCAAAGCCCCAAATCATAGCTGCATACACAGAGAGAGGAAGGAGTAGGTGAGACAGTATGACAGTCTGAATTGGAGGCCGTTGCATTGACGAATGGCAGCCTCATCTGACACAGCGCCACCCAATCATGCTCTTGGGATACAAATATGCACATAAGGTGTACGCATTATGTGCACACAGACAATTTCTCCTCACAACCACCTACAAAGCAGTGCCCAGAGCACACATTGCAGGGAAGTGGAGTATCTGTGGAATAGTACTCTGATTGTATAAACAAGCCCTGGATTCTATCTTCAGTCAGAGCTGCTCATTAAACTCTATTAACCTGCAGTACTAATATCTGCAGGGAGATCTCAGTGAGACAAACACACACCTGCTCCATTTAGGGGGAATGCATTTTTCATTCCCACAATGAACATATAGCTCCTCCCCAAGCATCAGCGAATACTCCCTATCACATACCCTAACACACACACAAGCTCTTCAGTAAAGAATGCAGATGGCAAATGCTCTGCACTTGTTGCGAAGAGGAAGGTGAAAGATGAAAAGAGACGAAAACTAGAGAGAGCTGAGAAGTGGGTGCAGGTGATGGAGAGGCCAGAGGATGATGAAGGAGGAAAAAAGAGAAAAAGAGATAGCTTCACCTGATCCACTCAAGTGCTGCGTGTCTATTTAAAGCCCTTTTACACTCAAACGATTTTCATTTAGACTAGTAGAAACTACATTTCAATATTTAAAAATGTCATTTTCACTGATTAAAGTGTTTATTTAATTAAGATATCTGTAAAACATTTTTTCAATTTCAATTAGTCAAAACTAAACAAATTGAATTATAAATATCAGTCATTCCTTTTTCACTGGTAAGAATAATGATACAGAATATCTACAACTGAATTTTCACATGTTGAAAAAGGATTGTGACAAGTGAAAATGTAATTTCCCATTTCAAATATCAACAATTGCATTTCAGAAAGGTCAACAAATCATTTTGTATTTTGGGCATCATTAGGGCTGGTGAAGGAACTTCCCTTTCGGTGATAATGATTGGCATAACATCGCAATATGTGGAAATGTTAGGCTATTTTTAGGGATATTGCTACTTTTTAAACGACAACAATGACTTTTTTGTTGTTAAAGGTACAAGAGACGATATTTGGAGCATTTCGATTGCATTTCGACTACAGTGCAAACAACTGCGATAGTGCTGACAGAAAAGTATTTGCCTCAGGGGGAACCAGAAGGTGGGTGCTACGCTTCCACAATGATGCTGTCGGTCGGGACGACGTTATCAGCTGTAACTGCCATTGAGAGCAGTGCAGAGCAGCAGCTGTGAGCTAGCCAGTGGGGCAATAACATGCACTAGCAAGCGCTAAAAGCCCGTACAGCCGGCCCAGTTCATCATGCTGCTGGTTTTTCTATCATAGTGTAAATATGTGGCACTCCATTGCAAAGAATTCGAATAGAAGTCCATGGTTAAAGTTGACCAGTTGTAATTGGGTTACAGGCATCTACAATGAACATTTCCACTAGAAGTAAATTCATAATTGATGTCAAGAATTGACATTTTGACTAGTGAGAAATTAATTGTAGATATATTTATTTAGAATTGCTACGAATCAAAATTACATTATGGATCAGTCGGTTTCTAATAATAATAATAATAAGTAATTGTGTGTATCTACAATTGCAATTCATGCTGCTGATTAAATGTTAGAAGGACTTGCCATAATGTGTCTGCTCTATGCACCAGCAATTCCTGTAGTGCTGTAGCACAGGTATACCATAACAAAGAGAACCTGCGAGGGGAGCACACAACTCATTAATGGAGCCCCATGTCACATCTGTATGCCAAACACCATCTGTATTAATTCAATCAGACACACACCACTGGGAGAGCAGAACAAAAATACAAACCAAGAACAACTATAATATATTTATATTTAATTTAAAATACGACCAGAATGACAATCCAATATGTCTGACAAAACCTCTCCAATAACCAACCTGCCCCGAGAGATCATCAGCTGTGCGACTGTACAACACCGAGCAGTCCCGATAGGGGAAGCATTAATATGCATTACCAAAGCAACAGAAGCAATCCCAACAGTGTAATACAAGCCACTTGAGTGAATACGCTTTAACCATACAGGAACACAGAATGAAGTGGAGCAAACATAAGTAAGGAGCGTAGGTGAGCAACTGTTTGATACATACCGTTGGGGCTCTCCTCATCAATGGTCACTATGGTTGCAGGGGGGCCTGGCCGGGACAGCTTGCATTCTGCATATTGAATAAAGAAAAAGCAAATTGACATCAAAGAAGCTCAACTCCACTGTGCTTGATTTAAACAATTTACTTTGCAATCCCAACAGTATATTGAGCTTCATGGCAGCTTATGAAAATGACTGCATATCATAGAGCAAGGGTTTTTAAAGTTTGAGACAAAGCTTGGTTTACCCCTAGTTTACTTGCTTAGTTTCATTACCTGTTGCCTATGGGATCATGTTTATGCTATTTGATCCCACAGAGTCTCAACAATTAAACCACGATAGCCTAATATTGCTGTTCGACATATTTTCATACTAGAGGCACAGGTGCCCTTTAAACTTCTAAGATAGTTTTATCCAAATTATTAAGTTTGAGGCCCAAAGAATTCAAAATATAGTATATTTTACCAAAAAAGTAGCAATTATAGAAAGGTCCAAAAAATGTGTTCAAATTTGTGTATCAGGCCTTTTTTCCAGCTTTCCTACTCAAATAATCCTCTCCCCCTCTCCAGATTGTGTGACCCACTGGCGCCAAAGGTTATACCTTATTGTATCTATAATGTAATTAAAACTAGCTGCACCTCGAAAAGCCTGAGCAAGAAATGCTACTTACAGTACACACTGATGCATCAGTATTACAATTTGAATATAGTAATATATAATAATGTGTCATATTAGCTGTTTTTCAGGTGAATAATGTCTTACTTTTGATAGTTTGAGTACATTTTGGTGCTAATACTTCCATTTACGAATAATATCATTTTGAATGAAGGACTGATATGAAATATTATTTGAATATAGCCCACAGCATGTTAGAACAATATTGAAAAAAGAAAACTGACAATGCAATCACTAACATTGTAAATATTTAATTGAGCTGAGGAAATAAACCTCAAATATTGTCTCAGCGTCTTCCTGTCATGCCATAAGCTGTCATGTTAAAACATTTTTATTTTTTTTAATATAGCAGGAGGCATCTATGACTACCACATCACTAACAGGAATGGACTGTACGATACTGACACCAGACAAACAGGGTGGTCAAAGCATGTGGCACCCTCATAAGCAATGCACTGACGAGAGCGGCTTCACAGAGAGAGGTCACAGCAGCTAGATGGTATGAGCACATGGGAAACGGGTAATTGCAGCTTGACAGACAGCACCAGATGGGGCAGCAGGAGAGGTGGAGACAGGAGGAAGGGAGGTGTCTAGTGTAGAGGAATAGGCGCTGCAAGGTGAGGCGCTCTGCGGCTGATGTGAGGAAAGTTCAGGATTAAATGTCTTTCAACAGGAAAGAGAGAAGTGGAGACAAAGATAGAGGGAAACAGTGAAGGAGAATACAGGAATGTAATGAAACAAAAGGAAAACAGACAACGGATAGTTGCCCTCTTACCCTCATACTGCCAGTCTGAAGGGATCAGGGGTTAGTGGAGCCAGAGAGAAGCAGAGCAGAAGCATGGAAGAAAAGAAAAGTATGAAACAGTTGGTTGAGGAACAGTTAGGAAAGGAGAGAAAATCATTATTTAAAAAAAAGACCAGATATTAGAAAATAGGGGGAAAGATAGACAGTTTCAGGGAAGCCTCTGCTAGACTGCTAGAAAAATGGTTTATGTGAGTGAACCACACACAGTTTTCACAAATACAGCCAGTCAATCTCTTCTCGCTGCCAGTAGCTGCCGGCTGACATTATTCCACAAGAGAGTCAGTGGGGTGCATTATAAATATGAATCAACTCAAAAAACGAAAACACTTTCTCTGCGTAAATGAAGTGGTGCCATGTGTTCTGAAAAAGGAAAAAAAAAAACTGCATGAAAGAGCATGGGCCTCTTTCTTAAATCGCTCTGCCTGCATCTTGGAAGATACTGAATCTCAAGCAGCTTGCTGTCAGTTGGTGTCCACTTACATTGCATGTAATCAGAGATGGACAGAAAGAAAGACACATGGTTAATGACACCACAGCAACAGTCAGCACTCTAAGGTTTCACACCTGCCTCCTGTTGCCCGACTAGGCACCTGTCGCCAGGTGCGTAACAGTGGATAGTTTTCTTATTAAATATGCATGCCAATGAGCCTTCACTAAAGTGGTGGTTTGAGAGATCATTTTAATCAGAGATAAGACCTTAGGATGTGATGTTGCTGCAATTTTTATAAACATGGCTACTTCTAAAATGTAGACATACACAATAACTAGCAATTGAATGGCAATAAAAACCTGCGTCAACAACATGGAACATTTCATGCAAATCATTGACTGCATCTTCTTGTTTCTAATCTAAGTCAGTGTCATGATCTGAAAAAAAAATGTTCATGGAGAGTTTGAAAGAGCAGAGATTCACATCCATGCACAGGATCTTATCTCGCTCCATATGAGATAGGCTGCATGAAATTCCTTTCTTCGTACGAGACAATACGTCGGTAAGCACAAACAACCTTCTCTAATCTAAAATCATTTGGGAATAATTACCAACACATTCTTGCACTGCTTATTCCTAAGGTGTACTCACTGTTCGATTTTAGAGTTCTATGATTCCATAGCAATTAGAAAACCTGTAACCGTCTGCTGGAGAAATAGCAGGATGAGGGTTTCCTTTAATAGCGTCAAAATGAACAGAGCAAGTGGGTCACACCTTCGCAAATGGAGACACAAACAACAAACAACATCAAAATAAGTATGCAAATCTGCTCTGAGAGAATATACTCTTTGTGAAGCAGAAAGAGTGTGTACATGTGTGCGTGAGCGTGCGTGTGTGAGCGTGTGGAATAAAAGTTACTTGCACTCATTTTGAGAAGCTTTTTAAGGGATCACAGACTGTTTAGTTAGTTTTGCATATGTGTGTTCAGGCACGAATATATGTGTGTTTGTGCGGGTGCACATGTGCATGCGTGTTTGTGTGTGTGTGCAGCTTGAAGTGGAAGTTGTGGCAGTAGGGGAGAAAGATGCGAAGAGTCTGCTTTGAAGACAAAAGGCAGAACCAAGCAGAGAAAAAGAATAGTGCCTCCCTTCGCGGTGCTAACGGGCCTATATTGCGATCAGAGCACAAACATGTTCTACTGATGAAGTGAGGCATACACATGCATGTGAATACAAACACTGCTCAGTCATGTTCACTACCAAGTTCGAATGATCCCGACCTCTTGCCAAATCTGTAAGCAGTGGGTGATATTTTTGAACGACATTCTACATCATGCTTTCCTCCCATTAAGAAGCCTTCTAGAATAATACTTCCCCATAGCTCTCTGGTTACACAAGGGTACACAAAGAATGAGCCAAATAGTCCTACCAAATCTCCTGTTACCCCCCCGCCCTGCAGCACTCAAGATAATAATATCCATCCATATACTGTAACATACATGATTGGAAAACTACTTAGATTAATCCACTTATCTAGAAGACCATGTCCAATTCTTAAAAAGCTACATCCTTGATTTAAAAATACAGAATAGCAGCAGGAGGGTCAAACTGCAAAGGAGAGCCAAGCTTTTCATTAAAACACTATGGTGATATGAAGTATGTACACATGGAATGCAGAGAAAAATTGAAAAAAAAGGCATAAAAAGCAAAGTGTAAATATTGTGCCCTTCTCAATCTGCATGAGCGAATGTTATGTCTGTCTCATGATGAAATGCGATGCAGTTGTTTAGTCAAAAACAATACAAAGCAGAAGGGTGGGAGCTCGATGAAAGACACATTCGATCACACAGCTCAGGGAGAGGGGTATGCAACAGCACGGGGAGCTCAGTTACTTAACAAACAAATCTGTTCATCAGGCTCGGGGTTGTGTGTGTTTTTAACCAGATTGATAGTAAATAGATTCATATGCCTTTATTTTTGGGGTAAAATGTGATGGTTGTGGGGAATTATCGAGGTATCGTGTTGTGTTGGAAAGAATGTGTAAGAATATGCAGTTTGCCTGGTTGCTAAACTCTGGTAGCCTAGTTACCAACAGTGGCTGAAACAGTTCATATGGGGGTGTAAACTATTTTTGACTGACCCTTCTAAACAAGACCATGGCCCTTGTGTGACATTAGATGTAGGCCCACGCATAATAACGTGCACGTTTGTAAGACAAGCAGAAGCTGCCATTGATTGGAGAGGAAATGCTGAGCAAGTGGAAGACTGAGTTTGCTTTAGCTGGCTGCCTCACAAGAGACTCCAAACTGTCCTAAACTATGAGAAAAAAAAAGGTTATTCTTGGCTAATATTGAATATATCTTTATGATACTTACACACCTGTAAGATTGCATTAGGTGTTCAGAACATTCACAAGCCAAATAGTTGAGGAGACAAAAGTAAAGCCCAAATAATTAAGTCTACAAAAGATAAGTATAGCACACTGTTTGATGTTCATACTATATATTTTTTCATTTCCAAGGGAACATAACTTTAAAGCAAACCATTTCATTCAACTTTTATTTTTTTATTATCTCACACAGCTGGAGCATTGCAGACTAACTTTGCGTTTGTTGGGATACTGCATCAAGATATCTTCAAATGGAGCAACTAAGAGCTGCGGCCCTTTGCCTATCCTCAACAAAGAGAGCAGCCTCAATATTACATTTTGTACTTCCATTTCTAGCTTTTATGGCTGTAGTGGCTCCCTCCCAGTCCTCAGCTGATGCTCAAAAGGCCTTGGTTAAATAAATCTCAGAAAGAAAATCTTTTAACGACCTGATCTCTCCGTTCCAAATGAAATGAGCATTGGGTAGGGTCAGGGTAGAGTCAGGGATTTAAAAAGACGGGAATCATAAAAAATGCAACAAGCAGCTTTCAATCACTAATCAGGGCACTGTACACTTGAGGCCTAATCCAAAGACAATCAAAATCTTCTAATTCTGACCCAGGGGTAATTTACTCTCACTGAAAGAGATCGTCTCCCTAATCAACTGAACAATGCTGACTTGAAGCCGTGAAGCTTCAATTACAAAATGATTACTGCTTGTGATTGAACAGATCTGCATTTTTCCTTGCAAAACCACGACATTTCTCTCAGACTGCAAATAAAACAATAAAATATGGCTTGTTTAACATGTTCCCTTTTTAGATAAGCAACTCTTTAAGACTAGGGGACTATTAAACATACTCAGCCTTAGGTGAACTACTCACAAAAAATACTACAAGAAAATAGTGATAATGACTGAATTAATCAAAATGTTGAACAGTGTTGAGATACATTTTTTGGGCCAGATGCAGTGATAGGGACAATAATATAGTCAGAGGAAATGAAAGCTTTCATATGCAACGTACAGTATGTGTTTTTGTTCTATACATAGTTCTTTCATGATACTTTTCAAATATAATTGTCCGAGATGCAGACAACCTGCTAAGAAATTCAAGTCTTTACGAGGCAGCTCCTCAACCGCTGTATTATCGAAGCAACAAGGCAGTGGCGAGATGAATTCGGCTCACTGACATTTACTTTCAAAAGGCTTTTTTACCCGACACTCAATTCAATAGCCTGTGCTTTCCTGTGGCTTCATCTGCAAAAGCATCTTTTTAGGAACCGATAAATCAAACTGCTGCTCCCTGGGAGTGGGGATCTAAAAAAGAAACAGACTTTAAAGGGCAAACAACCTAACAAGCAATGTGGTCCATGAGGCTGCACTGTCTCAATCAATCTGGCACAACTTCACAATAAACCTACAAAGGATCCGAGGCATCGCATTTAGATAACCAGGAGGTGCATATCATTTCACAATTACAAACATCAACACACGCTTGCCCTCTCTAGATGTGGGCAGCCACTAATGCTGTCCACGTTTGTCAAAGAAGGAGATGGAGAGAAAACAGACGGAGGCACAGAGGGATTCTTGAGAAAGTGCCAAAAAAACAAAGAGGAAAATAGGAGCTAATTTCTCATTCTTAAAATGGACGGCAAACGGCCAACTCAACACAAGGTTCCATCATAAAACATCTCGTACTAAATGTCCATATGCAACCATAAACGCTCCTGCCCATTCATATGAATATCAAGCCTTATGTGATGATAAGGAAATGTCTAACGGAGCCTTTGGAAGGCTCCTCCAGCAAGGACGGGGATATGTGGATGAGGTTTTCTTTTCTTCTTTTAGCATTTAACAGCAGCAGCACCCAAGGGAGGAATGTCTGCTGACTAGGAATGCACCGGTTCGACCTTTTCAGTCCCGATACCGATATCGATACATGTGCTTTGGGTAGCGGCCAATACCGAGTACCAATACAATACCAGTGTTTCCTCAATAAGCTGTATGCCTCACTGCATGGACGTGACTGGGAACGTCCTCGTATGTGTAAGACTTGATTATCCAAACTTGTAACAAATAAATACTGAAATGTACTGAATTGTTATTTGTTATGTAATTAATCAAATCTATAGCAATTACTTGACACTTTTAATTAGAATTAAAGTGTGAACCTTTTTCAAGCAGCAG